TTCCCTCACTCCCACCATCAGATGCTCTCCCTCAGAGCCAATGAACGCTCAGAGATGGAAAAATGACATTCTTGTACTGTATTCTCTGCTCAGAAACAAAACTGTAGTATTTGTCTCTATTAGCTGGCAGCAGCATCACTATCAAGATGCTGGGACCCTGGGACAGCGCGTCCTCATCAACTCTATTTTCATGTGTACCGGACTTCATCTAAACACAACTACACCATGCTATACACTGTTAGAAAGCTATGTCTCACAGTTTCAGCTATGCAAGGCATTTTATGGTCACCATATTACTGCAACAGCTGTTTTTCATTTTTCACTAGTAACTTATAGCACACATAACAGAACAATCGCTGCCTACCTTTTTATGTTGTTTGTATCCGAGATGTGCAGGCCATCCAACTGACCATAGCTGGACATCGTTTAAATCATGCGACCCCAGTGAACAAAGTGCACGAACGTATTAGTCCAATAAACATATGATCACAGACTCAATCTGCGGTCTTCGATCTTTCTTGTTTTAAGTTTACTTTCTAGTCCGCCGTTAATTCTAACCAGATAGACTCCATATTTTAGTTTTCTAAGATTCACGTGTCTAGCTCTCACATTGGTCAGTCAGCACGTCGATCAATGTAATCAGCCAACCAGCACCGTGAGGGGACAGCTTAACATCTACTCAATGTATCTCTGGCCAGTCACAGACGTTGGTAGAATGATTGACAATCGTACTAGCCAATGAAATTACGAATTCAAAGGCAGCGAAAAGCCAGGTACAACATCCACATCCAGGCTTTCTACTCCTACAGGACCTTTCAGTGATATATTGTTAGTGTTATCTATGTAGATGGAATATTTTGCGCTTTCATACTGTTGGTGAGACACAAAACAGAAGATATCACCTAAGCTTTTTAAAGTCATTTTAAAAACTAGATTGAATAATAATTTAATTTTAAAAAATCCAAAAACAATATATATATTTTCTTTTTTCCTAGTCTTTAGCCTGTGTGATAAGATGGGAAGCATGAGAAAGGTGGCACATGTATGACCATGATGCAAGAGGATTTGACTTCTGGCAGGATGCAATCTTCTTATTCACAGTCATCCAGAGTGTGCGTCTGCCCCCCCACCCGACCCACTGTAATCCACACACACATTCAGGATTAGTGTCTACCAAGGGCATAGACTCAAGTGAGATGACAGAGCACATCATCTATCATGAGCTGCATCTAACCTTCATCATGTTGAGCTCAAGTATGAACACACACAGAGGAAGTATTGTAAATACACATTCATGTTTATTACATTTACTACTTACATAAGACTATAGATGTTAGACTTTTTGACATAGACTTTTCATTTAAAACATTCAGCAGTTTTTTTAATCCCCCTTTTCTTGTCAAAAGAAAAAGTAATTCATATCCAATAGTAACAACTGTGCAAAGACAGTCTGGTAGGTACAATAATTTACTTAAAAATTGTTCTTATTTTAATCAATGCAAATCATGTGACAGAAAAATCAACAGCTCAACAGCTCCCATCACAACAAGTTTTCTTAGTCCCCATAGCAGAGCTGAGTGATTACAAATGACTATCACTCATATGTACATGCACTAAAGTGCTAGTGTTCAAAAGGCATGCAAATATTTGACTATTTGTACAACTGCCTTCCAAATATGCATAATGTTATTCAGTTTGTCATCACCCCTCTTCTACAAGTTTCCAGAGTCAAACATTCATCCCAGTGTAAAAATAAATAAGGACATTAGCATCAGAAATGACATCATGTGTCTCTGCTTCAGACCCGGTGAAGCAGAAGCTTTTTGTTTGCTTGTGTTGTCTTTTCTTGAAACTAAACTGAAAGGTCGAGCTTCAAAGGCTGGCAACAAATAAAAATGGACGTATGAACTTATTTAAAAACAAATAGCTAAAGCATGAACTGATGCAGGACAAAACATTTTAAAAGTGTAAACCTGATAAAAATGCAACAGCTGACCTACAGTTTTCACCTTAAAAAAGGTTCAGAATTGAGGCTATAATATGTATATGTACTAAATACATATATACACACGTGGGGTGATGAGTAACTCAAATGTGTGCAGGCACCTCTGATGAAAATGTAGTTTTAATGTCTGTTTTGATGATATTACAGTACATTCCAGGTTCTTCTAAAAAGAAGTTCTGGTTCCTCGATGGTCAGCTGGTGCTACTAGGATGGATCCTAACCCCCACTTCAGGCTCTGTTTCTTGTGAGTCTCTAGACTTGAGGGGTTTCTGAGGTACTGGGTCTTTTTAGGCTGAGGTGAAGGAAGGTGAGAGGAGGGAGAGGAATGCCTTACACCGGCTCCTCGCCCTCCAGGATGATCTTCCGGTGTCCTGGCGGCAGAAAGGTGAACCTTCTCTTCGAGCCATCACTCCACTTGGGAGAGGTGGAGGGGGAGCAGGCAGCCCAGCGCGAGGGGAGTCTGCGGTTGGCTGGGCGGGCCGGTCTCAGGAAGCAGGAGTCCAGGGGCGGAGCCACCGGAGAACGAGGCAGGTCCTGTCAATGACAAGGAGCTGTCAGACAGGAGAGCAAAGAGGGGTCTGCAGCCGGCCAGGACCAAAGAAAACAGGATGTAGAGACAGACTTAAACTGAGAAACATGAATGAGAAAAAGTGAGATAAGCGTGATCAGAGTCCAAATGATGGGCACAAACACAAAGGACAAATGCTTGACTTTGAAAGCAGAAAGTGTGACAAAGCCTGAAGTAAACTGATGAAACGTGCCAAAGAAAACGATTATTCAATTTGAGTGTGGGTAATTTTAGTTGGAACATTTATTTTTCATAGGCCTCAGTTGCAAATTCTTATTAATGTCTGCATCACTAAGTCATGATATCATCTAAGGTGGGTCCTGCTTCATTACCCAGTCTAATTAGTTTAGTTCGTATTGTGCACACAGGATGTTTTTTCCTTTATACACCTGAGCTGCATTATTGTCAACACTTTTTCACCCAAGTGCATGACCCCTAACAGGCTAATCTGGCCATGCCCCCTATTTACCTAAATAAGGGTCAAAAGATTAAAGGATGCTTTAAATAGAAGTCATGATGTTATAGATTATGACCAGGGGCAAAGAAACAAGTCCATGCAAAAGTTTTTCTTGATATAAATGCAAATAAAACAACAAGAACAAATAAATCAAATTAAAACTGGTGCAAAATCAACAAAAGAAACCACCAGCGATTGGCATTTTAACATCTCATCCTCACCTGGCTGCAGCCTATCACCTGCTCAGGTAAGCATGAGGCCTGGTAAACAGATTTCTTAGTTCTCGGCCATACATGTTACCTATGCACCGATGTTACTGTGGAACAGTTTTACTTTTCTCTCTACAACCTGTCAGAGCTCAGTCACTCGGAGGACTCAGCAACGCACACCTGTTTTCAGCACCAGTACCACTAGCAGAACATAAAAAACACATCACGTTATTAACTTCACAGACAATTGAACAGATTAACTGGCAAGATGCCGTGTTGTGTCACATCTGAGTGATCATAATTACTATTTTCCTTCTTGTAAGCTGCGTTCACATCAACACAACATTCTGCTATATCCTCCAGAAGAGTCTAAAACCCAGACAATCACAGACACTTGACAATGAACGCTACAGTCATACAACTGTCTTGTATTGTCCAATTACATGAATAATGGCCATCTGTAAACATGGGCATCTTTCCATTTCTCTCATCCACCTCATCCACATGCAGCATCAGTGAAATGTGAAGCAAGTGGCTTTAATTCAGCCGAACACAACAACTATAGCCTCAAAAATTCCCATACAGCTGAATCAACGCTTCACTGTGTGTGCTGATCACATACACGAGCAGGTAAAGACACACAAGCTGCCGTCAGAGGACACAGCAGGTGTCAGGTGAAGAACACAACTTCCTTGGTTTGTGTGCAGACATGGATGTAATGTCTTCACATCCATTTATAGATGATGCTTGTGGGCAAATGTTCACAGTGGCTTAACACTGAATAATGCAAACACAGGGGTTTATAAATGGTGGTTCAATGCTGTGTATGCATATTTCTGGTGTGGTACATACACAGATTAATGGTGGTGAAACAACAGAGAGCTTTATGCATCTGTTCCCTGGATGAAAAAGAAAAAGTTAAGAAAAGATGGCAATAAGAGAGAGAAAAGCGTCTGCAGGAGAGTTTTTCCTTCCACCTAAGGATGATGTGATTGGGTGAATGGTCACACCAGGACATCACACCACTGGGATGATTTAAAAATAGTCCATCATCAGACGTTGGCTCTCAGCTGAAAGTGGGGGAAACATTGAGCCCACAAAGCAACAATCTAGTTCTGCTAAAAATACACATCAGTCAGGCTGCAGTGGCGTGAGAGGACAAACTGAAGGAAAAAGAAGTCAGATGGATCCACCTGTGACTGATGTGCTGCACAATCTGTATGAAGCCCTCCTGAACTGGGAGGAAAACAAGTCAAAGAGATAGATGGATGGACTTCTCCATCAATAAATCATGTTTTTATGAAGACAGTTAATGGATTGCATACACTCCAGAAACACAGACATGTCATTGTTTAATGGGCGGCTTGTGGGTTAATACAAGATTTCCTGTGTGATGCTAACACATCAAATCACACACCAACACAGACCAGGCACCAGTAATGTGTACAGGAAGTCAGTGTACAGGAGTGGCTACTGAACACATTCACATCTGCACTGAATCTAGAAATCCTTGAGAGCTTAGTGCTGCTATTGTGGACTCTGACAGCAATAAATATTCTGTCCTTCTAAAATATTGGAATCATAAAATAAGATTACTACATATAAGGTTTCAGCAACAGACACCATTTTTGACACCACATATTTGTGATCGCGACAGTTAAACAATTAATTCATTAGCATTTCATACCTAATTGTATCTGTCCATATCATCCACCCAATGCTCTTGTATGTTTCTCTGCCTTTGAGATTCTTTTTGTTTGTTTTTTTTAGTAAGAAGATGTTTTAACCCCATGTTTGGAGTAGCAGCACTGGACTAAGTATACAGCTGAGCAGGGATTGATTTCTTTCTGGAACAAAACCTAGGAGTTCTGGTATATCTTTGATCCAAAAGCAAGAAAAACAGGCAGATTTTCTCATATTTTTTTCAAAGGCAGTTTGGTACATAGCTGCAATAACTCACTGAATTATATGTCAAGAGTTGGACTACCAGTAAACCTCTAGCTCTATACCAGAGAAACTGTATTACATAGTGAGAACAGAAATTGTATAAGTGTCTCTGAAGATGGATTTTTCCCTGAAGCATGCAAAATGTACCAGAAAATGTAGGTAATTCCCACCAAAAAGCCCACACAAAACCAAGGCAGGTGAGAGTGCACGGGAAGTGATGAGTGTTAGCTGCCGTCTTCATTGGTTAATCTTTGGGAGGTCTGGTTAGTATGAGAGGAAATGGTGAGGAGAAACTGTAAGTAGAGGAAAGAAAGCACTGCAGGGACAAATAAGAGAAATAAAGAAGTAAAACACCACAGTCCGTCCATCCACATGTGGTGACATAAAGAGGAGGACCTGGTAGAAACACAATGTTAGAATAATCCAGATACAATTCAAAACCAACAACCCATACTATAAATGTGTCATGTGCACTGGTATATATCAAGATGTAACACAACCAGTAATCAGGACACAGTACGAAGACTCTTGGAGTCACATGAGCTGATTTTGTGAGCTTGCTTTAAAGAACCATACCAGCCCTTTACAGGATCTATGACAAATCATACTGTACCAAACTGGTTTCATTTCTTTTCTGTATGGTATGAAAGTTAACTTCACTGCATGTCTCAGTTCTGTCTCAGACGAGTTGCCATCACACGTCAATGAAAAATTTGTTAGCTAGTCCTCTCTGGCTCTCGGACAACTGAGTAGATTATTGGCATGTCAGAAACTCGGATCGCTTCAATTCACCCTTGGCTACTAAAACATAGTTTTAATATTATTGGAATAGTTTTTAGATGTTGTGGCTCAAACTGTACTCTGAAGGCTGCTGTAATATAAAACTACACAGGTACAATAGAAGTCACAGGTTCTGGCTGTGCAGAGAGCCAGATTAAAATGTGTAGTGGGAGTTAAGACCCAAGATCAAGAGAACTGCATGGTGTCTGCCCAGATTAAGAACTAGCTCAGCTAACACTTGCAGGTTTTTTTAAAATATAGAATTCCATGTATAGTGATCAGTGAATGAATTAATGATCCTTAAATACGTCAATAAAAAGTGTTTCCACCTGTTCTGCGAGGATTTTGAATTTTCGCAGAAAACTTCCCCCCCCAAAAAAGTTATGTTGCAAAAATGTTTACATGTGGCTGAGTTGTGAGTAAATCAATAAAAGCAAAATGTGACAGAGTGCAATGGAAACATGATTAGTGACTAAATCACGACACACAGGAAGCACATGACTTAAATATCGGCTGGAGTTTCCACTCCACTGACAAAAATGAAAAAGGCAGCAGACAAAAAAAACGTCACTGGGGAAACGTTAACGTTCCTCAAATTAATACATAAATATAAAAGCCATATTCCTGTTTTCCACACTGTTTTCATTCATTTGAGATTTAGCTGGCATCCCTTTCTTCTACAATGATTTGCCCAGCAACAGTGGATGTAAACACATTACTTTACTTCTACAGTGAGGAACAGAAGTATTTGAACACCCTGCGATTTTGCAAGTTCTCCCACTTAGAAATCATGGAGGGGTCTGACATTCACATTGTAGGTGCATTCCCACTCTGAGAGACAGAATTAAAAAAA